CTGGACAGTCATGCCAAGAGCATGTCCAGAGACAGCAAAAGCCCCCTCCTCGCTAGACACAGACTGGGCACCTTTCAGGCCAGCACCGGCACAGCTGGGCTGTTCCCTCCACTTGGTTTTCCCTCAAGTGGAGGGTTCTTCTACCTGCCACAAACCAACACCCATAAACCCTGGGACAGGTGCCCTATGAAGAACTCAGTTTTGAACAGAGGCCCAGGAAAGGCTCTGGGGTTGTCGGACTCTCTACAGGAGCTGAGAGGATTCCCTACGCACGGCCTCCAACAAGCCAGCAGCAGACCAGGAAAGGAACCCACCATCACCCCACACCTCCCAAGCCAAGGCCCAGAGATGGTGCAGTCCTGCCCCCGCCACCTCCCACACCCAAATCATCCCTTTCCTGGATCTTACCTTGCAACTCCCTGGGGGGAGTCACCCAGCAGCCAAGTCAGAGGTCACGGCAGCACCTCACCGGCCGCTGGCCCTGAAAGGGAGTTTTGTGCCACTGCTTCCGACTGGGATGTGAGGGCTGCTGGCCTCTCTTGTTAGTCAATATTCAGGCGCATTTCAGTGCTCAGAGAAGTGAAGGATTGAGGGCACTGATTTGCAGGCTGCCTGTGCTCTGCCTGGCTCCAAACACGGACACCTCTGCCAACACACCCCACTCCTGCCCTGGTCCTCCTGCCTGTGCTGAGGGGCCTCCACCCTGACCCTCCACCCCATTTGCATTCCAGCCCTGGGCTCCCCCCCAATACTCTGTCGATGCATCTCGAGCCTGACCCAGACCTCCCCCACTGCTGTTCCAACCCCAGGCTCCCCACACCCCTCAATCCTGACTGAGAGCTCCCTACTATTCCAGTCCCAAGCTCTGGTGATCCACCTCACTGCCAGCCCATAGCCCCACTCACCCACAAGGATGCCTCTGTCAGACTCTTGACCATCATGGTGTACTCTAATGTGGTGTGTTGCATTGCAGACAAAAATCCCATCAACTTTACCAAACTATGTTGTTTGTGATCCAAGCCCCATACAAACCCAGGGCCCCAGAGATACCAGGACAATAACCTGTTGGACCAGCTCCCATGCCCTTCCCCTTTACTTTCAATTCTGGCCTGAATTGGTCTCTGCCAAGCAGGAAGGGGCCACCCAGATTTCAGCCTCCCCCACAGAAGCTCCCTCTAATCCTTTGAGCTGCAGGGAGACCCTCAGCATCACCCTCAAGTGAAAGAGGGTTGGGGCAGGTTAGTGAGCCTGTGAACTGAGCACAGGGGGGCCCTCCCTCCGACTGCACATTCCTCCCAGCTGTGTAACAAGCAGCATCACTCCACAAAGCATGCAGATTCAAACCAGATGCTCAATGTGACAGAAGAATGCTCCAAAGCTACAGAGCACAGAACCAAGCAGCAAAAAGGGTGCTGGGGGCAGAGAGGGGAGAGAGATAAGAGCCGGAAGAGCACTTATTCCCAGTCATTTGTCTGCCGGCCGTGTGGGCTGCAATCCAGCTTCTCCTTCTGCTTTATTTGCTTATTTTTTATTTTGATTTGATCTGATGGGTGGGAATAGACAGGAGGGAGGGAACGATATCGCCAGGCATGGCGTGGCGCAAACTGCCCCCATGAAGCGCTGCCAAAGCACCACAATCCCACCCTGAAACATCCTGCTAGTCCAGGACTGGCTCGTCCACCCACCCGCCTGCATTTCTACCCTGTGCTGCTCCAGCTTCGTTCTCCCAATACACTTGACATCCCTGCCTGTTCCGGAGCCAAGTGCTCACGCAGCCCTACCAGGGCACCTCAGTGCTTGCTGCCCTGCAGCACACCTGATGCTGCACTCCCCCCACTCTTTCAGTCCTGGACTCCCACACAGCCCTGCCAGACACTGCGCCTCATCCCAACCTGCAGCCCGCACCCCACAGCTATTTTGACCCTTCCCCAGCAGAGACCAGCAACAGCGCCGATGGTTCTATTCCACATGGGTCAACGTCACCCAGCCCAGATTGTGAGAACCTCTTCTCACTGGCGCCTGAAGCCAGATTGCTCAGGCCTAGCACTCCAGAGGGGAAAGATGCACATTGCCCATCCCATGCCAGTCTAATGCACTTATCCTATCCTGCAGCTGCATACAGCCGGCCACCCCAGCACACCAGACAAGACGTATGGGTGACCCCTCCTGAGCAACAAGGGGACGTGGGGGAATCCAGAGGGTGATGCTCCCTGTGACCCTGAGAGCAGGCTAACGAGGTCAGGGAGACCCACCCAGACACCAAGCAGCAGCTGCCAGAGAGGTTTACGACTGCAGCTCTCCCAAGGAGAGGTGTAGTAACAGACAGGAGTCTCCCCCGCTAGAGTTTTCTTCCTAGCCACCTGCCACGAGGCTGGTGGGAAGTCAATCAGGATTGCCTGTGGGTGCAGGCCAGGGGGAGGCTCCTTCAATTCCATGCCTATCTGCTGTAGGTATCCACCCACTCCAGCACAATGGATCAGTGGGGTCAGACTGCAGGGCTTGAACCCAGCCAGCCCAGGGATCCTGGAGTGCCCTGCTGCAAGGGTGGGATCCTCTCCATTGAGTGGAATAAAGGAGGGGTGTGCCCCTTGAAGCCACATCTGTCTGTATCTCACCCCCACTGGAATAATTTAGCTCTGCTACCAGCATGGGCCCCACACTCCCACCCCTTAGTGATTGCTGGTGTCCCCCTGGGATGGAACCCTGCCCACAGCCCCCCACTGGAGATCCGAGAGGAGCAAAGAAACAGCACCCCAACCCTCTGAAGGGAGAGCTAAGCCAGATCTTGGCACCTGTTGGAAATCAGGCTGGGCCAGTTAGGTGGTCTGAGCTGGCCCATTATGCCCCTCCTCTGTGCCCCACAGTATGCAATTCTTCTTTGGCTTTGGGGGGCTGAAGGCAGCAGCCTCTCCCTCCACCCATTCCATCCTGGCCTCCTCATGCCTGTTGTTCATTGCACCCCCTCTCTTGCGAAGAGGTGGGGCAACCTGCTCACTCCTGGCTGAGCCCCCCTCCCCTGACCTGTTTGTTCCTTAAAAGCATCCCCACCCCACCCGCTGCACCACAGCAGGCCAGGCTGCGCCATGCAGGGATCGTGTGTGAGCAGAGAGGGAAAGCAGCCCCCCCACCCCCACACAGTGCCCCCAGCCATCTCCCTGATGAATGAACTCTGCAGTGGCAGAACCTGCTGACACCCTCCCTAGCAGCCAGAGCGCCCTGGGAGCACATGTTCCTAGCCCAGCATCCCAGCCAGACCACTGTGTCCTGTTGCTCCCGTGGCAAATCCCCCTATAGACTAGACACTGGTGGGTCCCTTAGGGGAGCAAAATGTTTGACCCCATCCCCCTGCGCCCCACCCAATTAGTTGGCCTTTCCCTCAACCCTCTGCATCTGCAGACCTGGCAGCCCTCCCAGTGGGTGGGGGTTAGGAGAGGCAGGACTGGGGAAATGAGCTTCCCCTTTTCAAATGAAGCCAGGCTCAACAGTAGGGGTGACGGACCCGGCATTGTGCGCCGGAGCAATAAAGCAGCAGGTCACTGTATTAGAGCCTAGCATGCTGGACACACACACCCCCACCCCTTATTTATATGACCATAGTGCCCAGAGACCCCAGCCAGGCTCAGACTTCCAGTGCCCACAGCCAGAGACAGTCCCTGCCCCAGAGAACTTGCAGTCTGCTACAGCCAGACAGGCACCCACATGCAGGTACGCAGAATTACACACTGGAATAACCGATTGCTTAGACAGTGAAACAACCGGTGCCAGGCTTGATAGTGGGCACCACTCTTCCACTACCCAGTTCTCCTTTGAGAAATCTTCCACACTGGCATGGATTCCTTCGCAGAGGAATTCAGCACCACTACCCGCCTCCCTGCCAGGTGGAAGGAGGGAAAGGTAGAGAAACACTGAGGGTGGAAAAATGCACAAGAAAACACTGCTGCATCAGACGATCAAATCTGAGTCCATGGAGCCAGGGGAAAAAGTCCCCCCCCCACACCCACCCAACCTGCCAAAAAAACCAAGCCATCAGGACCAAAGGAGAGGGAGAGAAAATTGGGACAAGAAACAATAAGCCTAGAAGACAAGGGTGAGGAATAGGCTTCTGCTCCCCCCCACAAAAAAAAATGCAAGTTCCCCTGATCCTAGGTGCTACCACACCCCCTGGCTTGAAGTGGTTTGCGGTTTCCATCATATCCAGGGTTTAGAGTTTGGTTCAATGGCTCTCGGGGCCGCCCCCCCCCCCCACACACACAGTATACAAATTGTTCCAGCAACCCTGCCTCTGATCAAAGTCAGCCAACCCAGCCAGTAAGCAGCACGGTCACGCTCCTCGCCCGATTAAACATACAAGCACCAAACTTATTTCCATTTTACAAATATTCCTTCCCCGCCGCCCCCCCACGGGTATTTTCTCCTAGGAAACATCCCCTCCCCCCCAGACAACAGTCCATTTCTCTCGGTTTTTGACCCAGCTCCACTTAAGGGAACTCCCTGAATTTTCCACAGCTAATTATAGCTTGCAAACTCCCAAGGGCTCCCAGGGGCTGTTTTTTTTGCCAGCATGGCCAGGGCGAGTCACCGGCTTGGATTTCCGTGGAGAAAGAAAATACACCCCCCCCCCCCCAAGAGCTTGTTCGTGTTGCTGCAACCAGCGATTTGAGAGAGAGAGAGAGAGGCACACGCCCACCCCTCTGCTTTCCAGCCCCCCTCTGTTTCCAGCCCTCACCACCTCCCTGTGTCCCCCCCCCCGGCCCGGGTGATCTCCTCTCTTCTGCCTCCTTTCGCTCTGCGGACAAGTAGCACCGGAGCAGGGAGAGAGACAGGCACGGAATACAGGTTTGCAACAGGTTTCCATTCGGTGCCTGTTCCTCGGCCAGAGAGGAAGCCAGGCAGCCCCCCCGGGAGAAATCCCAGCCCCTGACCCCGCGTGGAGCAGCAGCTCCATGCACGGGGGAAGCGGGAGGCGAAAGGCCACCAGCCCAACAGGACAAACCACTTACCGCGCTCCTGGCTCGGGAGGCGAGGTTCCTCCAGCCCGAGGTTACAACCCGCCCAGCTGCTCCGGCGCTTCAGGCTGCGGGCCGGGGAAGCGCCATGCGATCAATGGCTTTCGCACGGCGGAATCAATTCATAGACTGCGGCTGCTTTCCCTCCGCCTCCAGTAATCCCGTCTTCCGCTGGCAGGGAAACCCCCCTGGATTTCCATGGACGGGAAGGGGTTAAAAAATCCCAAGCGCCTGGATTCGCTTTTCCACCCCCCTCCACTTCGCTGGATTTTGCTCTTCCCAAAGTTTGGAGGGTGGAGAGAGACCACTGTCCTTTCACGCTGCAGGTCTGCAAGGAAAACCAACAACCCCCACCGATCTCTGCACTGAAGCTGATCAGCAGATAGATGAGGGGGCTTGGGTTTGTTTTTGCCTCTTCTCCCTCCCTTCTCCCCGTTTTCAGAGCCAGCCCTTTGCAAATGGAGCGAGTCCTACACGAGCGGCGCTAGCTTAAGAAAACGCTTGTCATGGCAACGCCACTGCCTAGCCCAGCCAGCCTCACCCCATCCCAGAGAGGAGGAGGAGGAGGAAGTCTCTTAAGGTGGCTTCACATGCAACAGTCCCAGCCCCGCTGCTGCTGGCTCTCGGCTTTGCTTTTTTAAGGGGGAAGTGGCAAAAGGCAGCTCTCCCTTCTCCGAGAGTTCCCCCCGCCCCCCTTCCATAGATCCAGGTGGGCTTCCGAGCATGAAAGCGGTGGGGAGATCACCGGAAGAAATTAAGAATCTGGGGTCCCGATCCTGCCGTGACATTAGTGCAGGAGAGCTTTGCCTGTGTAGAGGTCATCGCAAGATATGAGATGGGGTGCGCGCAGAGTTTTCATTACTGGTGATGCTTTGGCTTGTGTGTTTTCACTCAGGTTGGACAGTGAGAAGTAGGCTGATCAGTTTCACTTTTTTCTAGTCAGTTTCACACTTGAGATTTCATGCCCTGGCCAAAAATTTGAGTTGCAAGCAGGAGGAGACAAGTCAGTCCAAAATTTGTATACCAAATCCTCCTGCTTTCTTGTAAAGCAAGAACTAATTATGGAGCTGATTCTGTTGATCTTAAGCCTGCTCCACACAAAATAATAAATTCATACCAGAGAATAGCTGATGTAATGCCAAGGCTCCAGAGGCAATCCTGGAAGTTACAGGCTGGAAAGTCTAACTTCGGTACTAGGCAAACTGGTTGAAACTATAGTCCAGAACAGAATCAGACAGATGAACACTATGTTGGGGGAAGAGTCAACATGGCTTTTGTAAAGGGAAGTTATGCCTCACCAATCTATTACCATTCTTTGAGAGTATCAAGCAGCATGTGGACAAGTATGATCCGGTGGATACAGTGCACTTGGACTTTCAGAAAGTCTTTAACAAGATTCCACACCAATAGTACTTAAGCTAATTAAGCAATCATGGGATAAGAGGAAAGCTCCTCATAGAGAAGTAATTAGTTAAAAGATAAGAAACAATAGGAATAAATAGTCAGTTTTCACAATGGAGAGGGGTAAATAGCAGGATCCCCCCAAGGATCTGTACCAGGACCAGTGTTGTTCCACTTTCATAATTAATCTGGAAAAGGGGGCATACAATAAGGTAGCAAAGTTTGGAGAGGATACAAAATTATTCAAGACTTCTAAAGGGATCTTACAAAAGAGTGACAAAACAGATTAAATGTAATGTTGGTAAGAGCAAAATAGTGTATACTGGAAAACAATTCCAACTAAACATACAAAATGATAGGTTCTAAATCAGTGATTACCACTCAAGAAAGACATTGGAGTCACCCAGGATTGTTCTCTGAAAACATCCACTAAATGTGCAGCAGCAGTCAAAAAAGCAACCAGAGTGTTAGGAACCATTAGGAAAGGGATCAATAAGACAAAATATAATGCCGCTCTATAAATCCATGGTATGCCCATATCTTGACTACTGTATGCAATTCTAGTTGTCCCATCTCAGAAAGGATAATTAGAAAAGGTACAGAGGACAACAACAAAAGCTATTAGGGGTATGGAACAGCTTCCATAGGAGGAGAGATTAAAAACACTGGAAGGTATGGTGGGGCTTCACTCACCACACAGGCTCCTCCTGCTGGCAATCTTGGGGATTAGCTCCACAGGTCAGTGTACCCTCTCCCAACGGTACTTCACCCACTGTCATATCTGCTCCTGGACCCACATCACTCCAAGGCAATGGCATCCTCTTTGTGATGCAGCCCCCCAGCCATGTCACATTCTGTACTGCCACCTTCCAAGGGAGGCGTAGCATCTCAGTAGTCCAGCCACTTCCCCAGGGGGGCACCAGACCCACCCACTACTGTGAGTCCCAGTCCACAGATCCTATAGCTGGCAGCTTCCTGCTACCTCTCCTTAAGTTCTCACCACTGCTGATTCAATTTCATGGGCCACTTCTCTGCAGCCCCAGCACCTTCTTTGCCCTCTTCTCAGGGCCTCAAGCCTGCACATTCCAGCAGGTCTCTCTAGCTCCCACAGTCCCCACTAGCAGCTGTCCTAGCTGAGGTACTACCCTACTACAGCCATCTAGGAACCCTATCCTCTCCCTTGGACTCCCTGCAGCAACTAAGTACCTGCCCCTGCAGCTCTTTTTATATGGGCCTGCTGGGCCCTGATTGGCTGCTCCCTGCACAGCCTCCCTAGGCTGCTTTTAACCCCTTCTCTGCCAGTGTGGGGCAGATACCCCATCACAAACATAAGGAAGTACTTCTTTGCAAAACCTGTGCAACTTGTTGCCAGGGGATATGAAGGCCAAAAGTATAACTGGGTTCAAAAAAAGAAAAGGAGTACTTGTGGCACCTTAGAGACTAACCAATTTATTTGAGCATGAGCTACAGAGCTGTAGCTCACGAAAGCTCATGCTCAAATAAATTGGTTAGTCTCTAAGGTGCCACAAGTACTCCTTTTCTTTTTGCAAATACAGACTAACACGGCTGTTACTCTGAAACCTGGGTTCAAAAAGGAATTAGTTAAGTTCCTGGAGGATAGGACTGTTATCCAAGATGGTCAGGGGATGCAACCCCATGTCCCTTAAGCTCTCATTGCCATATGCTGGGACTGGATAACCAGGGGATAGATTGCTCAATAATTGTCCTGTTCTGTTCATTCCCTCTGAAGCATCTGGCACTAGCCACAGTCAGAAACCAGGATACTGGGCTAGATGGACCAGACATTCTTATGTTCTTATTTAGTTAAATTGGTGCAACTATTGTGTGTGGACACTCAAACTGGTTTAAACCTGGTTTGGTTTAACCTGTTCCTGTAAACCAATGAAAGTTCAGCCAGTGCAACCTCCATGTGTATACAAGCCCTTAGGTTTTATAACACTTTGTTTTACAGAACATAAGTCCTTGATCCTGCAAATATTTATGCTGGTGGGTATAAGTTATGTGGGTAACTTTACAGATATAAGTAGCTGCAGTACGTTACTGTCATGCATGGGTAAGATTACTCACAAGCAGAATTGTTTACAGGATCAGGGCCTAAATGCAGAGCTTTAAGTCTACCTCATATATGGTCCTTTTATATAGGGAAAGTCTCCACATACCCATGGCTTCTCTAATTAAAGGTGCATGGTTAGAAATGTTTGAATCTAGCATTGGATCTACTTTTTCAGTGACTTATTGGGAGTCATGAAACTCTTCCTCTCTCACAGCCCAGATCCAGCAAAGACAGATTGTATAGTCAGTTGTGGGATTGGGGCTAAACTGGCTGCTCCCATCCTCTAAATAGTCAATGACTTTCTGGTCTCCTCCCACCATATATCTACCTAGCTATAGTATCTGAGCATGTCCACTATCTCTATTTGTCCTCACAACACCTCTGTGAGGCAGGGAAGTGCTATTATTAACTGATGCACAGAAAGACAGAGTGACATGCCCAAGGTCATGCAGAAATCAGTGGCAGAGGAGGGAGTTGAACCCAGGTCTCAGGCTAGCACCTTAACCAACGGACCATCCTTCCTGGCTCTCTCCCCTCTGTTCCTTGTGATTTGTATTACTATTCCAGTGCATTATGACTCACTATTTACCTTGCTCCAGCAACCGTAAGCCCATTGCATGGCTTCTCTCCCCATGTAGGTGTTTCACAGATAAATCACTTCACTTCACACATCACTTCAGCTCGCAGTTGTGGGTGTATGTTTTTAAAAGAAAAGGTTACGATGTGCTCAACAGAGGACTTGAAAGTACGTTTGCATATCTCTCTTTGTATTTCAATTTTATTATTATTAATTATTTGGATTACCATAGCACCTAGGAGCTCCCGCCAAGATCAGGGCCCTCTTGTGCTAACCACTATAAGCACACATAGCAAGAGAACAGTCTCTGCTTACTATAGCTTACCATCTAAACGACAGATCCTGCAAACACTTACACACCTGATCGCTTCATGTGAGCGTTCATCGATTCCAAGGCCAGAAGCAACCATTGTGATCATCTAGTCTTACCTCCTGTATATCAGCCCACAGAACTTCCCCAAAATAATTCGTAGAGCAGCTCTTTTGAAAAACATCCCATCTTGATTAAAAATGGTCAGTGATGGAAAATCCACCATGATCCTTGGTAAATTGTTCCAATGGTTAATTACCCTCACTGTCAAAAATGTATGCCTTATTTCCACTCTGAATTTGTCTAGCTTCAATTTCCAGCAATTGGATCATGTTGTACTTTTCTGTGCTAGATTGAAGAGCCCATTGTTAAATATTTGTTCCCCATGTAGATACTTTTAGACTAATCAAGTTGCCTCTTAACCTTCTCTTTGTTAAGCTAAAGAGATTGAGGTCTTTGAGTCTTTCACTATAAGGCAGGTTTTCTAATCCTTTCATCATTCTCAGGACTTGTCTGAACCCTCTTCAATTTATCAGCATCCTTCTTGAATTGTGTGCACCAGAACAAGACACAGTCTTCCAGCAGCAGTCACACCAGTGCCCAATATAGAGGTAAAATAACTTCTCTACTTCTACTTGAGATTCCCCTGTCTACACATCCCATCATCATATTAGCTCTTTTGGCCACAGGATCACATTGGGAGCTCCTGTTCAGCTGATTACCCACCATGCCCTTCAAATCTTACTGCTTCCCAGAATAGGATCCTATATGCTTTGTTCTTAGATGTATATGTTTGCATTTAGGCATGTTGTTTGCATGTTCCCAGTTTACCAAATGATCCAGATCGCTCTGAATCGGTGACCTGTCCTCTTCATCATTTACCACGCCCCCCTATTTTTGTGTCATCTGCAAATTTTATCAGTGATGATTTTATGTTTTCTTCCTGATCATTGATACAAATGTTAACTATTGTAGGGCCAAGAACCGATCCCTGCTGGATCCCACTGGAAACACACCTGCTCGATGACAATTCCCCATTTACAATTACATTTTGAGACCTATCAGTTAGCCAGTTTTTAATCCATTTAACATGTATCATGTTAATTTTATGTTGTTCTAGTTTTTTTAATCAAAATGTTGTGAGGTACCAAATCAAATGCTTTACAG